GGGGGGGGGGGGGGTCTGTTTGCTCGTCTGTTTGCTCGTTATACCTGTCCATGTGTTGCAGCTGCAGCCTGTCGAAGAAGTCCCAGCTGCTGATCAGATTGTCGTCCAGATCAAGACACCTCAGGCCGCCAAGGTGGCCCTCCACATGAGGCCCCTTCTGCTGTGTGACGGTCTCCCCCAGCCTGTTTAGCTTGAGATGCAGCTCACGCAGAGAGGGGAAGTGGCCTGACACGCGACACACCTGACACACATACCCAGCACGCAGACGCACGGCCACACACATAAAGGAGCTAGCTAAGTCATCCACCCGTTGTGCGCCGACCTCAGTCCACTTGATGTGTGTGCCGTTGAGTGAGAGCATCTCCACTGAGGGGCAGCTCACGTGTCCCTCGGAGGACTCGTCGATGGCTTTGAATCGGTTGCGGTTGAGGCTCAGGGACCGCAGGTTGGGCATCGACTTTGCAATACGGAACACCTCGCGCCAGTCGCACAGCAGATTGTCGTCCAACACGAGCACCGACACGTCTGACGTGGCAGAGAGGGAGTGAGAGAGGGTTGAATGGATCAATCGTGCGCCACAAGTGTCTGATGGATGGATGGCCTACTTCCGAGTGTCGATGGGTGTGTGAGGCCATTTGATGCATCGCCTGCGGCAGGTTGCTGGCATGGCAGTGATGCGGTGCTGATGCTGCAGTTGTCGAGCAGCAGCTCCTCGAGGTTCTCGTAGTGGGAAAAGTACTCCCGCGCCTGACGTCACAACAAACACACAAGTGGGTGCCGGTGTGATGAGATGACGATCCTTCTTCTCCCTGCCTGCCTGCCTGCCTGCCTGCCGGTCTAAGTGCGCACCTTATCTTGCCCGACGAACTGCATGGGTTTGGTCCTGCTGGTCTTGGCATCTACCACCGTCAAGTCACCCTCCACATCTGACAAATGACATCCAGCAAACGCCACGCCATGGCATTCGCATCAATCAATCGAGTCCTTCTACTGTCGCGTGCCGTGGCTGACCTTCTCCCTGCATGGCGTATTTGTCCACCAATGCGCTCAGCAGATCCCGACCGCCAGACACCTTGCCGGGCTTGACGAACGACGCTGCCGTGTGTGGGTGCTGCGCATACTCACACGTGAAGTACCGGTCGCCTTGGAAGGTGCCCTCGTGCCGGCCACGTGACGGATCATCCCACTCGACGCCTACCCATTCATTGCCAGATGCCGAAACGCCGTCAGCCTGATCTCGCTTGAGAGGACCGAAAAAGCGAACCGTAGCGACGGACCCATCGATGGACACACGCTGGCCGACAGAGAAACTCATTGACGCGGAAAGAAGATGCAGATCTACCCAAGCTCGCAAGCAGAAAGAATTTACGAACGACCAAAGGGGATTAATAGCCGCGGAAGGCCATTCTGCGGCAGATCTGATCCATCATGTCTACGGTGACGGTTCAGCTTGGCCAATGCGGCAACCAGCTGGGCCAGCAGCTCTTCCAGCTCCTCCACACGGAGGCCACCACCGCCCCGACCCAGACAAACACCGCCAGCAGCAGCCTCAGCAGCAGCCTCCCCGCGTCCACCATCTCCCCCTACCACTCGTCGCTGCTCGACACCTACTTCTACCAGCCGCAGACCAAAGATAGGCACAATGACGCGTGGACGGCCAGGGCGGTGCTCATCGACATGGAGCCCAAAGTGGTCGAGCAGTGCCTCCACTCCACACACACCAAGCGGCCGCCCACACTCCTGTCTGCTCGACATCCACATCCCTCGAACAAGGCTGCCGCTGGTATCGGTGGGAGCGGTGGCGCGCCTTCGGGTCAGTGGCGGTACGACGCCAAGAGTGCGGTGTGTCAGCAGAGCGGGAGTGCCAACAACTGGGGGTACGGGTACTTTGTGCACGGCGAGCGCAACAGGGAGAGGATAGCCGACGTCACGAGGCGACAGGCCGAGAAATGCGACAGGCTCGACAGCATACACCTGATGCAGAGCCTCGCAGGTCAGATCTGCAGGCAGACGAACAGATGAAGCGGTTGGCACACTCTTTTAAAAGAGTGTTTGTGTTTGTATTTGATAGGTGGCACCGGTAGTGGGTTGGGTGTGTATGTGTTGGATTTGTTGTGCGACGAGTACCCCTCTGTGTCGGTCCTCAACACGTGCGTGTGGCCTTTCAAAGCGGGCGAGGTCACGGTCCAGTGCTACAACGCATCCCTCTCAATGGCCAAGATATACCAGCAGAGGTCAGCTAGGCCATTTTCCATCCATTCTCTCCCTGATGTGCGTGTGTGTGGTGCAGTGACGGCATCCTGTTTGTTGAGAACGACCGGTACCGGTCTCTGTGCGAGCGTCTGTACCACATCGACCACCTGTCGTTCCCCTGCCTCAACGAGGCCATCGCCAACGACCTCATGGGCGCACTCACACCCCTAGACGACCCCGCACTGTCGGCATCTGTGGGCTGGCGGCCAGCCATCCCCCTCATGCTCAGACAGTGCTGCACTCACCCCGCATACAAACTCCTCACCATGAGATCCGTCCCGCAGGTCAACACCATCCATCCATCCATTCATCCAACATGGCAATGATCCCATTCATCCGTGTCTGTCTTTAGGTGCCGGTATCTTCTGTTCCGTATCACAGCGACGAGTGGTCGGGGCTGCTGAAGCGGCTGCATCGCATGTGTGGCCACCAGCTGATTCTCGACTTCGAGGGCGCTACCCCACATATGGAGAGGGGCTGGGGGAGCTCATGGGGAGGGGGAGGCGGTGGGGGCGGGGGCATGCACAAGACATCGCACCCCGACGCACCGCCGGCAGGTGCATCGCAGCAGCCGTGGGGTGAGGAGGACGACCAGCAGCGGTGGGGCAACGTGAGTGTGGGCAGCCAGCTGGTGCTGCGGGGCGTCGACACGCACAGGGCCGACCCGGCCCCACTCATGAAGAACGACAACTTCTGGAGCCTCGCGCTCGACCCCATTGTGGTCCGTCCCCCACACAAGCCACAGAGGCAGAGATGCTCGCTCCATATGTGTGCCATGTGTGTGTATGTTTCTCTGCGTGTAGGTGTATCAGAATCCGTTTCCATTCCGTGGTCTGCAGCGGTCGGCGTCGCTCATAGCCAACGACCAATCGCCGCTGACAGCCCTCAAAGAGTGAGGGAGTGAACACCCCTGCAATACAGATCATACACCATGCATGCGTGTGTGTGCGGGGGTGCGGTATGTGGCAGGATGTTGCATCGCGGCTTGGGCATGCTGGTTGGTCGAGCGTATGTGCATCAGTATGAGGCGTACGGGCTGGGGGAGGAGGCCATCGGCGAGGCCATGCAGTGCCTCACACAAATCATTCACTCATACCAGCAACTCAAGACATGATTGACCTGCCAGGCCAGCTGTGGACATCCATCATATCACAATACTTTTCGTGATGTTTGCCCGTTGGCCACCTAAAGTAACATCTAGACCCTCTTTCTTTGCTTCTCTGCATCCGTTAACATGCACTACCGCAGCCTGTCTGTGCTCGGCCGGCCCCGTGCTTGGTGTTTGTGGTGTCTCGTCGGATTGGGATGCCTCTCAGACGAGACACCACAAACATCAAGCAGGAACAGAGGGAACAGAGTCATCAGCAGCGACGTTCAGTCAGTTCGACGCAACAAACACTGTATGCGTATTGACATCAAAACATCCCATCCACACAACCCTCCCTCACTTTGGCACGCACCACAGCACCCAGATGTCCTCACACGATACCAAAGCCCCCCCACCCCCACACCCATCACCACCATCACTACCAGCACGCATCAGCGCCGCCCGCAGCACATTGGATCGCCTCCGCGGGGCCGCCAGCCTCTCAGGCGCCGTCGATGCGCCGCTCATCCGCCGGCAGGGGCACATCGGTGATGTCATAGATGTGACACATATCGCCCAGCTTCTGGAAGAATTGCACCACACATGGGTCTCGATAGCGGTAGCTGAGGAGGATGGGTGGGGGCCGGGTGGCACAGTCGATGGCTCGTCTGAGTGTGGCAATGAGGGGCCCGTAGCTGTCGCTGTTGTACAAGACGTCACATAACATGATGAGCGAGAAGGGGCCGAACTCATCACTGACGGCCGTCAGGGCCGCGTCGTCGCCCCGCGGCAAAGGACGGCCATGAATGTGTGCCTTGCGATCAGACTCTGCACATGGAACCACGACCAAGCACGATAGACAATGACACACACTGGGCATGCCCTCGTTCGTTCCGTCTGTGTGCTGTTCATCAATTACCTGCACCAAAGTTGAGAGTGAGGTTGGCCTCACAGATGGGCATTACGTCAGGTAGGTCAGTGCACACGACCATCGGCTGCCGCATCCCGCCACTGAGATAGTACACGATGCCACCGACCCCCGTGCCGCTCCCAAGCTCCAGACAAGCGTGCCTTCCAGCATCATGCTCATGCAGCAACCTTCTGTAGCCCTCTTGCCGCAAACACTCCGCCACCATCCATCCAGCGTCCCATACCTTCCCCCCCAGCACCTCGTAAGCCGACTGCTCCAAAATGAGGGCTAGAGGGCCGACGGGCGAGAGGTCGAGCAGCCGAGCGCCGCTGAAACCATCCCACGCATCAACAAGGGCATTACTCCCTCCTGCTGCCGTGTTGTTGGTCACCAGAGTGAACAGCAGCGATGCGGCCCTGAGAATGCCGCCGCCAGCCACGCACTTGGGGTCCACCTGCACGACTAGGATGGCCGTCACGGACAGCACAGAAGACGGCCGCCTGCCCATGGACGGCACCATGTCGATGGCCACCTGCAGCGATGCACTGCCGCTCTTCCTGACAAGGAGGTCTCTTGGGTTCTTGACAGCCACATGCAGCTGGCAGGGTGGGGCGGGGGATTGATGGCTGCCAGTAACTGGCGTCCATGGGATGGCCGTGAGCTGCAGGCCGACATACTACCTGCTGCTGCTGCTGCTGCTGGATGGTGTGGATGATGAGTCAGAGGGCACCATTGCATGACTCATGCCCTGACAACCAAACGAGAACGGGAACACACACACATGCTCTTCTAGGCTACTATGGCCCCAGTGGTCAGTTCAAGCGTACCAGCTCGTTCGCAAGATAGAGCTGGCACAGATAGACAAACAAACAGCAAAGGGCACTACACCATGATGCGATGAGTCAGACGACAGTGTCCTTCATGCTGCCACCATACCTCAGCAGTGAAGTATTCGCCGGCCTTGACGACCTTTGGTGGTCTGTTTTTGAAGTAAAGTCTGAACAGCGTGTGCTGCACCTGACAGCTGACGTCGTACGATGCCGTGTTCGAAGCCATATCGAGACTGTCCCTATGAATTGAAGGCTTCAAGCTCGGCATTCTAGGAAGGCTCCGTAAAACCGCTGCGGGATCGCCTGCTGGCTCACTCTGAAACCGCTGGGGATCTGATCTGCTCTGTTGACGGCTTGGCGTGACGGCTGGGGCGGCTGGTGGGGACGATGGCTGCCCATGAGCACCCCGTCAGCCACTTGTTTGTCGGCAGCCGAAGCCATCTGCCCGACATCGTCACGGTTGCCCGCCTTAGGGCCACATCGAAGAGCATCCGGGCTGCCTTCACCATAGCTGAGCTGCGCACCCGCCTCGCCAACTCACTGAGCCGTGACGGAGATGGCATCAACACTAAGCAGCTGCAGCTGGTGCGGTTCGACCCATCGCTGTGGATAGGTGAGCTGATGGCGGCGGTGTGGATAGCCGAGGAGGGCGGGCGGTGGGATGAGACGGGGGAGATGCTGCAGTGGGCCAGCCAGTGCGGCTGTTGTCAGCTGCCCCTCAACCTCACGGCAGATGACATTCGCACACACGCCAACAAGACGGTAAGGCACACACACACAGGGAGGCGGGAGGGAACAGAGAGGCCTCAGTCATTCCTCTGTCTGTCTGTCTGTCTGTCTGTGTGGTGTAGGCGTATAGATCGGTAGCTCGTGTGTTGGCGCAGCTCATGGTGGTCGGCCGCCACGTGGCCTTCGGTGATGGCAGCTGCCTGCGGATCTTCCGCCGTGCCAATGGTGAGGTGCGGGCCATCAAGAACGATTTCTGGTTCCGGCTGGACGACGTCGACCCGCCCCTCCCTCCCCACCATCTGTATCAGCGGCACCGACTACAGCATGACCCACCAGTGGAAACCGGCATCGCCTACTTTGGTGTATGGCGGTCGAGCTTCCTGTACGAGTATGCGTCATTGTCGTCATTTGCCAAGAAGATGATCCTCGACCACTTCTACTGCACTCACCAGCCCTCTCGCACATCGATACGACTCAACAGGTAACACACCAATGGCACCAGTGGCGAGAGTGGTGCGTGTTTGATTGTGTGGTTTGTTGGTTCAGGCGTGTTGGCGGCGGCCGTCTGGATGGCCTCCTCATTCAGTCGCCACACACACCGGTGGCCGGATGCACCACCACACTCAGCTCGGACGGCCGTGTTGGGCGGTACCTGGTGCTCACCAGCAGCAGCCACACCTTCGTGGCGTGGATTGCCATTTCGAATTTGGGGGACAACACCGGTCACGCCGACAGACAGCTCTGCTGGTGGTCAAATGTCATGTGTTGTTCTCTCTCGTCTGTCTGCAGTGAGGGTTACTGTCCACACGACCGAGGCGCCTGTGCCGTGTGTGAGCGGTTCCTTCAAGGACCGCTTCCCGGTCACGACTCAGCTGGCCCGTGTGGCGCTGGGTCGAGTGACGCCATACGTCTTCGACGGCCAAGTACAACAGCAGCAGCACGACGACAGCGACGATGACGGTACAGACTGAGGGAGGAATGTGTGTGTGAATGGATGCCGTGCCCTCTCCCGGTGTGTGCGTCTGTGTTCAGGAGGATACCTGTAGCTGGATTGCATTCAACTGGCGCCATAGATAGCTGCCGATGACCCATCCAGGCTGGCTGTGGGCTGAGGGGCTGGGGTGGGTCTGTCTCTCCGGTCCTCCGGTCTGTCTGCAGAGCTATGTGCATGTCTAGCTGTCTCTCCCCCTCCCTCTAACCTGTCGATGTATATTGATGAATGGCTGGCCGACTTTGTCCGCTGTGGTGATGCATGTATTCTCTGATGAGCGTGACATTGCCCAGTATGCATGAGTGTGTGAATAGTATTGAGCGTCCTTTTCGTGTCAAATCCCATCAAAATCCCATCAAAATATGTCTCATTTCATTTGGCCCATGGTCGTGTCAGTCAATGTGTGTCCAGCGACGAGTCAAATTCCATCAAGACACGGCCGGCCATCGGGCAACAGGCCGGCTATCTGCAACAGCGCGGTTTCTGCGAGCTTTGCAGGGGAGAGGTCGCTTTCACGCAGTACCCCAACTCCATAGATGAGAAGCCAACTCCTCCCTCGACGATGGGCAATGAATGAGGTGCTGCCGTCCGTATGGCTGGGGTCGATGCATGCCGGTAGGCCCGAAGAAGAGCCAGGTGTCAAGCAATAGGTGTCAAGCATGACGGTCTGATGCGTGTTTGTGTGTGCGCAGCTGTGGACGAGACCTTTCTGGCTGGTGTCGGGATCACACACATCTTGACAGCCGGGAGCGGCCTTTCTATCACAGCCCCTTCATTTATCAAGCATCACATGACGCTGGAGCTGGCGGACACTGTATGGGACAGCGTTCTGCCGCACGTTGAGGAGGGCGTCGCGTTCATGGATGGAGCCGTCAAGGAAGGAGGCAAGGTGCTGGTTCATTGCGCCGCTGGGAGTACGTTGACTACGCAAACGCGAATCGTTCTATGTCTTCTGCTGTCTGTCCCTGTCTTGTGTGCATGGTTTTTTCAGTGTCGCGGTCGCCGAGCATCTGTATCGCCTATGCGATGAAGGCGCTGGGAATGACGTATTTTCAAGCCTTCAAGACAGTCAAGAAGGTCAGACCGATGACGTCACCCAACACGGCGTTCAGAGCACAGGTGAGGGAGGGAAGGAGGGAGGGAGGGAGGAGCAAGCAGGAAACAGCAGCCCCGATCAGACCGATGTATGTATGTGTGCGCCTGTCACATAAGCTCCTCCTGTACCAGAAGCACAATTTTGATGTGAAGTCGGCTTCTAACGAATGGTGGGCATTGCCACGCACACAAGCATCACGTGAATGGTCGGTTCCCTTGCCTTGGCTTTGTGTCTCGTCAGGGGTCGGTGTCTCGATTCCTTTGGCATCAGGCTCTACCGCGATCCGTCCGATGGCTCGCCTACCAGCACTGCGGCCACGCAGAGACACATGGAGGTTTTCTACCGCTTCGATGACGTGTCGCCGCATTCACACGCTGAGGGACACATACACGAGGACCTGGAGAAGGCACTGGGGCTGGAGGGCAGTACGGCCATGCCATTGGAGGGGGGCTAGCTGATTGAGAGACCTCTGTTTTGTGTGTTCTCATCTTGAGTGTCGGCATGTACAGCTTTGGGTCGGTGGGAAGTTACATTCCATCGATTCAAGAGACAACACCATGACGAGTCAACAGCTTTGGAACGTACAAATGGAAGTTATCTCATCTCCATGTGCGGCATGCATCGCTCCCCCCCTTCCCCACCCTCTCAGTCTCTCTCAGACACTCGATCTCCTCACTAAGTGCCTGGAGCTCCCGCCGGAGGGGCGAGGATAAGCATGGACAAGACGGAGACAGCGGTCGGGGTGGCAGTGGCGACAAAGAGCCTGGTTGTGGTGCGGCAGATGGCTGAGGGGCGACAGGTGACATGATGCTCTGCTCAGCCTGCAACAGACAACCAGAAAGAGGTTGCTGTCCTGACATAACCCCAGCGCTCCTTAGGTTGACCGACCTGTGCCTCCCTCTCCTGATCTGCCGCCCTTTCACTCCTTTTTTCTTGCGCGGCGACGCTGCGACGCCTCAGCAGTCGTGACCTGGGCCGATCCAGCAGCCTCTCCAGAGCAGCCGCATGCTCCACGTGAGCCTTAAGCAGCTCTGGCAAATGACCAAGCACCGAGCTCAGGCCCCTACCAGCCGCCCCCCTTGCGCGCGAAGTGCTCGCGGGCGACTCGTGGCGGTCACACAGGGGAGTCGACGACTCGTCGGCCTCTCCCCTTCTCGAGCACGCGTCCATCTCCGAGAACGCTCGTCGCGATGTGTCGATTGAGGCTGGGCACGGCGGATGGCTGGTTGGTGCCTTGCTGGGGAGACGGGTGCCGGTTGTGATGCGGCGCCTCAACGGAGTGGGGTTGGGGGTGGCGGGGCCTTCACCTTGGGGCTCATTCTCGCTGTCTTCTGTGGCCACTGCCGCGCTGATGGACGTCCGACAAGTGCTCTTGAGCAGAGACAAAGCCTAAAGAAGAGAGAAACAGGCGGTGCACGTGTACGAAACGATTTGATACGGATGCGCACCTTTGATCCAGTCCGCGTCCCAGCCCTCCGTTCATCAGCCATCTTGAGAACGGGAATGTTGTCTAGCGCTAAAGGCGGCACCGCGCAAGCCCCTGCCCCTGGATCCTGAGACGCCCTACTTGATGGCATCGACCCAGAGGACGACCCCCCCCAGGACCTCACTGATGCCGATCGATGCATCCTGGCAACGTGGGGCGAGGCATCACTGACGTCGACGGCAGCGGGGGCCGGCGGGGATGGGGGCTGGTGTTTGCGGATCGATGGAATGGGCGCCGCCTCCTCAACAGCATGATTCGCCGATATGCACGCCATGGCGTCGCCATGTGCCAGAGCCCGCAGAGGTGCGCTGGGCTTTGGCTTGGCAGACGTGGGAGGCAGCGGGGGCCGCGACAAGTGCGACGGAGACTCCATCTTGGCACCCGGCTTCGAATGACCAGCAGACGCCGCAGCAGCATCCCCACTGCCATCGCTCCGCTGCTGAGGAGCAGCGAGGGGCGACGGTATCTGCAGGCTGCATGGCGGAGGGGGCTGTGGACGAGGAGGAGTGGAAGGGACCGGCGGTGGACTGAAAGGCCTGACAGAGAAACCGGACAGAAAGAGAAGAGACGAGCTGTGTTGCTGTGGGTGTGTCTCTCCCCCTCTCTCTTTTCTACGTACTCGTTCTTGAGCTGGTAGAGCAGCTCACAGGTCGCATCACACGTATGCCCCGGCAGCCAAGCGTCCGGACACTCATCGAATGGCCTGTCATCCACCCGAATCAGTTCTTCAACCCTCCCCCAGTCCCTCACACGACCCCTCCCCTTGTCTGACGCATCAAAGTGCGGCTCGGCCGTCGGCAGCACCGGCGAGACCGACAAGGCCCCCATCCTCTCTTGCTTCATGGGCACAGGGGATGGCGGCGGCCCAACTCGCCACTTCTTGGAGAAGAGGGGGATGACCTGTGGCGAGGGGGAATCGTTGCCGAAGGGAGAAGGAGAGGCGAGGGACTGGTTGGCAGGATGAAGTGGCGTCTCGACCACAGTGTATTGGGTCGGCAGCCGATACAAAGGGCCATCGGCAGGCCTCAGTGGGGAGGCGTTGCTGACAGGCTGTATAACACACAGACACGGAGCAAGAGAAGTGTGGCGGCAATTGAATCCTCGTTTCTCAGTATCCTACCTTTGCTCTTGCATCGTCTCCTCTACCACTCTCCTGTCCCCTCCTCGCCCTTGTGCTACTCACGGGCTGCGCCTCCAAGACCTCTACTGGTGTCCCATGACCCCTGGGCACCTTCGGCGGTAAGCCTACCACTCGTGGAATCGGCCCCGTCCCATCCTGTGGCCGGTGCGACGTCTGCGTGCCGAAGCGCTGCCTCGCAAGCCCAGCCAGATCACCGCTTTCTTGCCTCGATGATGAAAGCACTGAGGGTGGCCTGGTTTCCGGCGGCGATTGGCTGGATAAGGCAGAGAGGGGAGGGGATGGTGTGGCCTTCTGGATGCCCTTGCTCGCATGTGATTGGTCTGTAGCTGCCCTGCGATGGAGGTCCAGGGGTGGCGGGAAGAACAAGGCCTGCCCTCGATGCACCATACGAGCCGACGACAAAGCCATTCTTCTCGGCTGATCTCTTGAGCCATGTTCCTGAATGGCTGAAGACGGTCTTGTAGCAGCAGCACTCTTCGCGTCGCGGTGCTGCTGGCCCTGGTGGGGCGGTAAGCTCCTGCTGTCGTGCAGCGGCGCCCATCGCCCACTATCCCCTTGTCTATCTTGCAGTGGACGAAGCGAAGGACTTCTAGAAGTGACGGGCGTCGAGGCGCCTGAGGTCCTCGGCCGGATGGGTGCATGAGGGACGGCAGAAGCAGGAGGACAGGAGTGGTCATCCAACGAAGTGGGCAAACGAGTAGACGGCGTCGCGTGCTGTGAAGAGGGTCGGGGCGCGGAAGAAGAAGTCACCTTCGGCCTCACATGGAGCCTGTCAACGGCACACATTGCATCATGCATTGTGTTTGCACTGGTGAGAATGCGTTCTGCCCACCTCTCATCCCTTTCAATGGCAGCAACGATATCTTCAGCCCTCATGTCCAAGAGAAAGGTCTGAATGACGTTGTCCTCAGCCATGGCGTTCGCGCGAAAGGAACCAGGGAAAACCGCTTCTCAGCTTTTGAGCTCGCAAATGCGATCATCCCCATCTGCTTTAGAAGACAAGGACTCGGTACCTACCTACCTACCAACCTTTCCCTCTCTCCCGGTGTTGAAGTGCTATCGCGTTCTCCTCTGATCCTCTCCGCGCTAAGCTCATTGTTGAGGAGGACTTTCGAGACCCTCAGCTGAAAGGACCGACCGAAACCCCATCCCACTCTACCAGGTGTGCGCC